CTGTGTCTTCTTAATTTTATTTTATTTTTTTTAAGATTTTATTTATTTGATGGAGGGAGCACACAAGCAGGGGGAACAGCAGGCAGAGGGAGAAGCAAGCTCCCTGCTGAGCAGGGAGCCCAACATGGGGCTCATTCCCAGGACCCTGGGATCATGACCTGAGCGGAAGGCAGACCCTTAAGCCACTCAGCCACCCAGGCGCCCCATCCTCTTAATTCTTAAAGCACCCTCTCACTCCTAACAGATGACATTGCTTTTTATTTTATGGAAATATTTAAGACCATCAAGTGAGAATTCCTTCAGCTTCCTTTTCTCTCACCTATAATTTTTTTTTCCCACCTGAACCATTTTTTTCTTTACCTGTTCTTTGAGTTCTATCTTTGCCTGTCTCCTGAGGGGTCTTACTTTATGAGTCCCTCCTTTGGCTGTATCTTAAAGTCTTTCCTTTCTACTAATGCTTTGTTGTCAGCATGTAAACACATCCCTTTCAGTGTACTGTCTTCTCCACAGCCCTGTATTTGGAGTTTGAATCTCAGAGGTTTGATGAAAGATCAGAGAGGAAAAAGAAATAATGATCATGGTGATAAAACAATGGAAATGTTTGTTCATGAGGTCTGTTCAGTAAAGGGAAGCAAACAAGGGGACTGTTTGTTGGGGGAAAGTAGATTTTATTTACGCAACTGTCATGTCATTTCATAACACTTGCTCTACATCTTATGGCCTTGTCCTGTAGTTAGGAATTATCATGTCTTTCTTCCCTATGACTAAGCTTCTTTAAATAGTGATGTCTCAGTTGACTTACTCTGCCACTTACTTGCTTCGTGACTGGCAATTTATTTAACCTATCCATGCCTCAGTTTCCCTGTACATAAAATGGAGATGATAAAAACATCTTTTGAGGACTGTTAATGAGGATTAAATGATTAGTAATTGTAAAGAGCTTAGTAACTATTAAGAGTTTAACTGCCTTAGATACAATAATGTGTTCATGTAAGATAAGTCACTTCTATCTTGATGAATAAGCTAGTGCTTTCTCTAATTAGCATTGAATTAGTCACCAAATCTAACAATTCTTTTCATTTTGCATGCCATTACTTTATTCCAAGCATTTATCTCTTCTTTCTTCTGTACCTTTTAGATGCTGCTTTGGTCTCCTCATTTCTCTCAGAAACCTGCAGTCATTTCTAAATCATAGCCCACCCTCTTCACGTGGCATTCAAGTTTCTTCAAGCTTACCCCAGATAATCTTTCCAATTTCCTTACACCTTTGTGAATTATTGATCTTCTGTTCCATCTAGAACCGCCTGCTGTGTATTTCATGAACACATCACCTTCTTTCCTACCTCCATGCTTTTTGCTTGTATTCTCTTCAGCTTAGAGCACATCTTCTTTTTATGTCAGTACCTTTATGAATTGACCATAGATTTTTGATCTCACTCTCTTTACCTCAAGGACATTGTGCCTTTCTCAGGGAATGACTTCTCATTTACCTTGTTTCTGATATAATTGTAAATACTAATTTCAACAGATTGATAAAGAATTGGCTAGTGGTGAATATTTTCTGAAGGCAAGTCAAAAGAAGCGACAGAAAATGGAAGCCATAAAGGTAAGACTGTCTAGTTCACAACATTGATAGCACAATTCATAGAAACTTGAATTCCTACTTAACGAGTAATTGTATTAATGTATTTCTTATTAATAATCCAGGCTAAACAAGCAGAAGCTCTTAGTAAGAGACAAGAGGAAAGAAACAAAGCTTTTATTCCACCTAAAGAAAAACCAGTTGTGAAACCAAAGGAAGGTAAATGCTTGTTCTCCATTTATTGGTTTAGTATTAAAGTCTTGCTGAAAAGTAAACCCAATAGGGAATTTTTCTGAATCTCTTTGAGTGTTAACTAAAGACATAACTCTATCTTTCATCATTTCTGTTGACATACCATTAATCACTAATCCTAGGGACGAGACCACTGAGGTGTTATATAATTTATTAGCAGCTAATGACTATTTAAGAGTGTCCTGGATTGACAGTCCTTTCCTGACCTCTGATTGTACTGGAGTAGGACTCTGTTGTGAAAGCTATAAACTAGAGCAGTGAATCTTCTGTAGATTTAAAAGTAACTAAAGCAGTGAGATTGCTGAGCTCTGTTGTCATGCCTCTCAGAAAGAGCTTATCAGAGGTTATGCTTTTCTTCTCTTATGTGATCTGTGGCTTAAAGTTTGATTCCTGTATTGTTACGATGGATTTCTGATCACCTTGGGCTAAAGGACACTATCAAAATAACAAGGTCTTAGGACCTATTAAAAAGATAGTGTGTGGCACCTGGGTGAGCTCAGCTGGTTAAGCGGCCAACTCTTGGTTTTGGCTCAGGTCATGATCTCGGGGTCCTGGGATTGAGCCCCGTGGCAGGCTTTGTATTCAGCCAGGAGTCCACTAGAGGATTTTCTCTCTCCCTCTGCCCCTCCCTCCTAGTGTGCTCTAAGATTTAAAAAAAAAAAAAAAAAGAAAGAAAAGTTTTATGTCTTTCCTTTTCTATTCCTAGCCTCATATGATCCACCCTTTCCTCTTTTGCATTTTCTTTCCCACTAGTAACACTTGTACTCTTCCTGAAATAATTTTCCGGAGTAGCCGGTGACACAGTGAGGGGAGGGAAGTCACTGGCATCATTGTACCTGACTTATTGGTGAAAACCAGATATAACATTGCTACTTTAATATCCTATATTAATTATATCAGTGTTAATAGCTCTAAAAATACTCTATGTTTCAGTGTAGATCATTGCTTATGTAAAAATTAAAAACGTCATAAGCATTATAATTTCCAGTTTACTCAGCCTGTGAGTTTTACTTAGAAGGTCATTTAGTAGCCGTTTTAATCTCTGTTTATAATGATTAAAAATGTAGCTATTTCATGATAGTAAAAGCTTTACATCTCTACTCAAGTTGCTGGGAAGTTTGATGTCTTATCTTGGGATTCTCCTATGCTCTGAATACTGCTCTTTAAATTGTGAGAAAAACCTACATTTTTTTCTCCTTTTTCTTTGTTGTTCAAAGTTTTGACATTGATTCCATGGTTGGATTCTGTTAGGAGGATCTCCAAATACTCTCAGATCATTGTCTTTATTACCAAAACCTTGTTAAATAAAAGTACTACTAGTCATTCATTGAACTAATAATTAGAAAACTTCATTTTTAAGTTTTGTTTTTTTTTAAAGATTTTATTCATTTGAGAGAGAGAGAGCATGAACGGGGAGGGACGGGGGTGAGAGAGAAGCAGACTTGCTGCTGAGCAGGGAGCCTGATGTGGGGCTCGATCCCAGGACACTGAGATCATGACCCAACCCAAAGGCAGACACCTAACTGATTGAGCCACCCAGGTGCCCCTATTTTTAAGTTTTTATGTGTGGTATTAGATGAAGTAGAGTTTGACCTAAAGCTTAATGACTAGTTAATTAAAATTACAGAAGCTAGAAGGGCTACATTTTAATATTATTCATGAAATTTTAAGTTATTTTAATGGGTGGAATGGAAAATTGGCATATTAATGAGTACTGTTAAGTTCTAAAATATGGATAAGAATATAAGCAAAACTAATCTCAACTGCAATTTAAAGGAAAAAATTAAGTTTTAATATTGTTGAATTCAGTTATTAGTTTAAAAGCTAAACTATGATGCCATTTTCATGTGTACTTTCACTAATATATTTTTAAAGTACTTTATCATTTGTTTTCTCTTAAATGTCTAACTTTAGGCAGTTTTATATTTTAGGGAAGTGTTTTATATCTTACAACATGACCTTTCACCTGTACTCTGAAATTATTACACCAAATACATACTCTCTGTGTTTTATATGGTAAAACCTAAAGAATTACATATATCATTTTTAATTTGTCTAGCTTCTACTGAAAATAAAATTGATGTCGCCGCCATCAAGGAAAAGGTTAAGAAAGCAAAGAATAAGAAACTGGGAGCTCTTTCAGCTGAAGAAGTTAAGCTTAAATTGGAAGCGGATGAAAAAAAAAAGAAGAAAAAAAAGTAACATTAAAAAAAAAACCCTGGATGAGAACTCCTTAAGCTATCTCCTTTTGTAAAGGATTTTGAGATGCTAGGGCATTAGTAGCCTATGTGTGAGAAGGAATACTCTGATCACATTTTTCTGAGTTTGTGTCATTCTTCAAAACAGTGTTTATATATATATAAATATTCTTTATAAATATAAATTATTATATTTTCTGTGTGTTTTTTTAAAAGCTTTGTGCTAGAAAGTAGTATATATGCACCTTGTATATATTGTACCTAATCTGTTTTGGCATGTTTGGCCTAAGCATGACTTTGGTGTCATTTTTAGGTTGTTTTATATAAAGATTTTTGAGATGTGACTATTGTAATTATCCATCAAATCCAGTGCTTGATGCCGCTGGTTAGTCTTTAAATAGAATCATGTCCCACCATTTGGTTTTGAGGAAAATAAATGCAGACTTTGCAGTGCTCTCTCTAATGCTAACAAGTAAACATTTGGGCTTATTTCTTTTTATAATCTCATTTTACATTATGTTTAAACAACCCACAAGCAAAAAAAGCAAGGCCTCTTAAATCCCTTAATTACTATTCTGAGTCTGGGAAAATGGTAAACCAAAGACCTCAGATTGCAAGAGAGTGGGGAAAACCAGATGTTTAGAATTGAAGCAGCACACAGCAAGTTACATAGAAATGTTTTTACTAATGAGGGCCAGTGGAGTACCTCGAATTACCTAAATCGAGCACATTCATTTTGTAGTTTTAGAAGCTAAGACACACGGAGGCTGGGTACCTTACAGAAGGTCACAGCTGTGGTAGCCTGAAAACAAAGCTTATTCATAGAAAAGTGGAAAGTAAAAATGAGTTTATTCTAGAGGTAGGAAGTTGAACAGTTTTTCTCTTTTTATTAAGGGTTTAGTGCAACAACGTATTTTTTTCTGAAATGTTTTAAAATTAGAAATAAGAACTATATACCCAACTGTTAATTTAAAAAAAAAAAACAACCCATATGTGAATGAATTGTGTTTTTTTGTGGATTATATTAGTTCAGAAGAACTAAGTGAGGGTATTTGTGCTTGACCCAAATGGTCATTATAGCACTCAGTATTAGGATTGGTGGACTAACAATGAGAAAGAGAGATAGGTATCTGTTGCGTGAAGATACTGGCCAGTCAGGATGCACAATCAAGTAATCTGTGAAACAAACATAAAATATCCTTAATTGTTGTTTCTCAGAATGCAGTAATGTAATTCACATAGATCTTAATGGAGCAATGATTTACGTACATACCTGTGACTTTGTCTCGCTTTAGGTTAGCTGTAAAGTAGGAAGAAAGAAAAAAATTTGTACTGGTGAGGCTTTATTTTGCTTAAAAAAGCTAAGTCTCTAATTATGACCATTAACTTGATTTTTGGTTTCTTATAGTGTTTTTCAAACATTAGTTATTAAATATTTTTTGTACTAACTATATTAACGTGACATTTTTAAATTGACCTTTTATATAAACTTTTTGCATACTGTTACTGTAAGTGAAAAATAATTTCATATGTCATAACTAGCAGATAATAAATATAATTAAAATAACAAACTATTAGAATTTAAAAGTAAAAATAATTGTTAGTAAAAGTCAACATGAGCAATTTATTAAAATATTTTCCTGGAAATAAGTTCCTCCCTGCGAAGAGCAATACTGTTTAATGATCAGTCATTAATAAAGAGACCATGACCTCTCTCTTAAAGGGATTTGGTTTGCATAATGTCATAATTATTCCTCTCTTTTCACTGAGATTTATTCAGATTTTGACATTCAGAACAGTAGGTAGGAAATTCTACATCCTCCTTAGCCTTCTTGATACTTTTTTAATCAAATAGATAACCCTTTCTACATCAGTGCTTGGCGAGCTGCTGTTGAGTTCTGTAGTGGAGTCCAGCAAGGACGTGGCTGGGGTGTTTGTGAGCAGCTCTGATCATCAAACCTGTGACTGGGCTTTGTCTGTAGTGAATTACCAGGAAGCTGCTGGTACTTTAACTTTTTTGCAGTTAATACCATGAAATCAAGAATGTGCTGTGCTCATTACACTTTTTCTTACATAGACATTTTTTTTCAGTGGTAAGTATTCAACTCTTGAACATTTAAACAAATGTACATTCTTGCACTAGCTAAAATCATCCCATGTATCATTAACATACCCAGCACATTATGCAAAACCATCCTGATTTGGCCTCCATGGGTATTTACTGAACCTGCCAACAGTACTTAAAGCACCAGAAAGGAATATTTTCCTCCAATATTTTTCATAATTTTTCAGAGATGGAATCTGTTAAAAGCTCTTTACCCTCATGCACACTAGCATGTCTGCCTATATTTTTCTTAAGGGCCCAGGGGCTTTTCATTACTGGATCACAGCCTTCATTTTCTGTTTTTATCCCATAAGATTAGAGGCCATTTAAAGCTAGTTCCCAAGATTAAAAGCTAAAACTCGAACTTTCTTCTGTCACTGTGAAGTTGTTGTTACTATCTAGATTTTTAAAGAAGAGTATTTTTTAAGGAAACATGCCTTAAAATTAGTGCTGCTTTTGCCAGCCTGACTAGGGTCCAAGAGAATTAGGCATAATTCCTACCTGTTGGAATTCAGAATCCAGTGGGAAAGATAGCTAACCAATGACAAAATTAAATTACTCCTTAAATAATTAAAAATAATTGTCTCAGTTTTCACCATGGATTTTAAAGAAGCAGGTTTGTTCATGGGCATAAAAACGTGACAAAGTTTGGGCATAAAGAAAACACTCAACATTTGGGAGTATAGGAAGGATGAATTTGTGGGTAATAGGTAATATTTATTGAATGCTAATGTATGCCAGTTTCTTGTTCTAAATATAAATATTTTCCTTTTTTCTTGATCTGTTTCATCAAACCTGTGAAGAGATACTGCCATCTACACTTTATTGTTGAGGAAATCAGTTGCCCAAGGTCACAGTGGTGGAACTGGAAATTGAACCCGGTCATACTCTTTCAAAAATGTGTGGTTTTCACTCCGATATTATAATGCCTAACTTGGAAAAAATAATACGCTTTATAGTATTGTAGCAACATAAAAAAATTGAGTTAGTATGTTGAAACTCTGGGAAGGGATTCATTGCATAGTGGCTACACATTAACAAAGCTGAGTGAAGTGAATGGTTGAACCAGCGGAGAAATGACGACGCAGAGAGCTGATCAAAAAAGTGGCTATACCTGGAGCGAAAATGAGAAATCAGTGTTCACAAATCAGGAGTTCTTTTGATGTTGCTGAAATTAGCAAATCCTGGGTCTACAGTTTGTATTCTCACAGTCGTTTTTTGTTGTACTGATTAAAGCTAAATAAGAAGGATATTATTTGCTTCCTTAAATTTACCTTAAATATATGTTCATTTCCAGGACAGTAAGCCATCAGTTTGATTGCTACCTGATGCCAGCTTCCCTGAAAATAGCTATTAGGTTAAAGCAAACATTTGCATTCTTAACTCTGCAGAGAAAGTTTTATAGTTTTAAACACATAGTATTATTGGTAGATTTTTCCTTTTACTCACTGCAGAGGTTATCCAAACATTTGTCATCACTGGGGCAGGCGCTGCAAGTAGATCCTTTTCTATACGGCCTTTGGTAGCTTTGTCTATAAAGTAGAAAAAAGCTGTCCATCAGGAGAGATTTTTTTTTTGCAATGAAACTCACTGTGACTCTGACTGAATCTGTAGGGTGGAAGTTCATAGATGCCCAGGGTTGAGGAGAGTGGAAGCCTGTTAATATTTACAGAGTTTTAGTCTATGCGTCTATCTATGAACCAATGTCTTCACCTGTATCATCTCATTTCACTCTTTAAGACAACTATGGAAGTTATTTTTATTTTGATTTTACAGGTAGGAAAACTAAAGCTCTCAGAAATTAACTGGTCAAAAATCACAAAAATGTGTACATGTCAGAGTCCCAGCGAAACCCAGATTGGTCTGACTCCAGGGCAACGCTTGCTCTGCTTAACTGGCCTGTGTGATCACTACTATCCAAAAAACTGCTCATTCTAAGGTCTTACGACTCACATTTACTTTTCTCAGTTTAGCAAGCCTCCATGGTTTTTATTGGACAGGAGTCCTTTAGCTGGGTTAAATGCCTTCCAAAAGAAAAAATGAGAGAGGGAATTTCTAGTGTGCAGTTTGTTTTCACATAAAAGGTGTGATGTGAATAATAAATAATAAGCATCCTTGAATGAATGAATTTTCACAGTAGTCTATGGGGAAGATAATATTATTATTTATCCCCAATATAGCTAGAGGTGAGGCACAGAGTGAAAGTAATTGACCAAGCTCATATACTAGAAAGTGAAATAATACACAGACATTTTATATCCCCATGAATATCTTCAGAGTAGTAATGATGAGACTGATACATGCATTGCAGTAAATCTGCCATTGTACTCATAGTTTTTGGAAAGGAGTTTTTAACTTTTTTGTGTCATGGTACCTTTGGCAGTTCTGGTGGAGCCTATGGACTCTCAAAATAGTTTGGTTTACTTTTTTTTTTTTTTTTAAAGTCAGTTCAGTGCTGGGCTTGAACTCATAACCCTCATAGGGACCTGAGCCAAGATCAAGAGTTGGACACTTGACTGAGCGACCTAGGTGCCCCAAAATTTTTTGCTTTTAAGTGCATAAAATAAAGTTTGTAAGATTGTAAAGGAAACCGAGTAAGCTCAAATAGTTATAAAAATGTTTAAAATATTTTTGATATAGCAATATGTGCTTCTCAAATAAGATCTAACAAGAAGTCTAATGATGATAGTACATTTAATGATAGATTACAACCATATTTTGAGATCTCTGCAGCAAGTGGAATGTGCTATGAGAATAACTGATATTTACAAAGATAGAAGTAGTACTAACACAGAGTCACATCATTGCTTACGTGACTGAAGTGTTGTCTTTATACATAGTGAAATGTTATTTTCAGTAGAGATTAGTGAAAATAAAGATTTAACATTTTTCCGAATCCAAGTTCATGGACTCGACTCCCCTCCCCTAACTATAGTTTTACTTCTGAAGTTAAGAAAGTTAAGGAGACGTTACTTTTTTTTTTTTTTTAATCCCTATCAGTTGACTTGAAGTAGGGGTGATTTTTTTTTTCTTTTTAAGATTTTATTTATTTATTTGACAGAGAGAGAGACACAGCGAGAAAGGGAACACAAGCAGGGGGAGTGGGAGAGGGAAAAGCAGGCTTCCTGCTGAGCTGGGAGCCCGATGCCAGACTCGATTCCAGGACCCTGGGATCATGACTTGAGCTGAAGATAGCCGATTAACTGACTGAGCCGCCCAGGCGGCCGAGACATTACTTTTTATTAACACCTTGTTTCCAACACCAAATATATGTTCTAATTTTGTTTGGCTCCAAATTAATCTAGGTTGTTTCAGAAACCATTCATCCTCATGCCTACTTTACACTGTGGAAAATAGTCAAAGGAATATTCTGATAACAATTATAAAAGACCTCCAAAATACACATTAATCATGGGGATAGCTTTCATTGTTAGAAAGCACAGTACTTATTGAGTGGTCAAGTTCTTCAATGTTTTTAATAAAATCGTTTGTGCTATGTCATTCTTTTTGTTGAATTGTGTATTCCAAACTGCAAAGAAAAAGAAGAAATTACTACTGCAAAACCAGGCTAAAGACAAGGCAGTTGTGGAATTCTAGGGAAATGGCAGAATTCTTCCCAGGAGAAATAATGCTACTGGAAAGGCCTCATTTGTCTGGATAGGAACAGTTGAGACCAAGGGCCCTAAAGTATTCTGTCCCTAAAGAAGCAGGAAATGTTAGTGTTTCCCCAGGTAGCCTAAGAGGGAGAGGGCCCCGGGGCTGAGGAAGAGAAAAGATAGACTTTTTTTTCCAAGTAATCTCTGTGCCCTACATGGGATTCAGACTCAACCCTGAGATCTGTGAATACTTCTCAAATAATCACCATTGCCGGGTATTACAGATACCTGGTATTTTACCTCGCTTTCTCATGTAATTTTCATAGCTACTTGGTAAGAGTTGCTTTTATTATCCTGATCTTTTGAAAAGCAAACTGAGGTTCGGAGAGATCAAGTAACTTGTCCAAGATCACACAGTAAGTGAACCAAGGTACTGAGTCTCAAGACCCTGTATCTTAACTATTAAGCTATATAAATGTCACGAAAAGTTACAACTTAAACCACTTGGCTGGGTTTTCCTGGGTTTTCCATATTTTCTGACTTTGGGATTTTAAGTCAAAGTTGTTCTTTTCTGAATGACACCGGATTTTAGTCCTTTCACTCTCACCTACACTCAGTCAAACTATCAAACATTTCTTCTGAACATTACTTCAGGGAAAGAGAGAGAGGCAACTAACAAATCTTTTGGAATCCCAAAGACTGGAAAAATCCAGATTTCAAGGGCAACAAATTAAAGAAAAAAAATGTTGGGTGCCTAAGTGTCTCAGTCAGTTGGGCTTCTGCGTTTGGCTCAGGTCATAATCCCAGGGACCTGGGATCGAGCCTCACATCAGGCTCCCTGCTCAGCAGGAAGCCTGCTTCTCCCCTCCCTCTGCCTGCTGCTCTGCCTACTTGTGCCTTCTACCTCTCTGTCGAATAAATAAAAACCTTAAAAAAAATATGCGTTGTATGTGTGTATGTTTATGTAACACTTGTAAAGGGTGAACACAGAGAAACACATACACTGAAAAAAATGTACCAGGTGTTAATGGAGTAGATCTCTGGGTAGAGGAATTAATGGTGATACTAATTTTCTTTTTTACACTTTCTTTATCATCCCAATATTCCACAATGAAAATAAATACTTCTAAAGTAGATTTTAAAAAATTTAGAAACAGGTTGATGTGGGTACTTACCCTGGTCCGTAGTTGCATATGAAATGTGCTAAGTTGGTTAAATGTCTAATGCCATCGACTGTGTGGCAATGCTGTACTGCACATCCAACTTTGTAACTGTCTGCCCACACGACCTGAAAGAAAATAAGGATTTGTAGCAAGAGAGAGACAATAAAGTGAACATCTGAGTATGATTAGGCCTTCCTCAACACTTCCTCAATAGTGAGATGTGTTCACTCTGGCAGGTAGAGCCGTTGCTACCGGGGAGCATGCAGATGCTTGGAATTCAGCTGGAAACAAGAATTGGAATTATTATTATTGGGGTGTGAGTGTGTGAAATGATACTAAGATAGTTTCTGGCACTTGAAATAAAATAGTGAGTGCTGGGGAGGTGGGGCTGAGGCTGGGGGTCCAGAGAAGGTGTCCTGGAGGAGGGGACACAGGGGATGAACACGCAGAGACCGAAATGTGGGAGGAAGAGCCTTCCATGCCGAGGGAGCAGAGATGCAAAGGCCCCGTGGTGGAACTGGCTTGGCTGTGAGAGTGGCAGAGAGAAGGCCCGCGGGGCTGGGACCCAGGCAATAGGGAGACTCACTGGCGTTGAGGTAAAAGGCAGAGGGCCAGGTTGTGGGAAATCTGCTAGGCAAGCGAGCATAGACTCTTTTTCCCATCTCAGGAGGCTCTCTCGTTGTTATGAAGTCAGTGGACTGAGAAGAACAAAGGAAGAAGGAAGGAGGGCGTTTGAGAGGCTGTTTTAGTGGTACAACAAAGACAAGATGGTGGCCCACACGTGGGTGGTGGTAGTGGCACATTCCTGGGAATCCATCAGGTTCATGGTTCAGCTTCTAGCTAAAGCTGAAAGGATTTACTTTTGCTTTGAATGTGGAGGAAGTGGGAACATTTGGGGCCTGAGTAACACTTCCTGAGATTAGGAAAACTAGGGAAGGAAGAGGGTTAGGGGGAGCATGGATAAGGGTTCTGTTCAGGTCCGGTGACCTCTGAGATGCCTATGAGACACGCAAGTGCAGAGTGACTCTGGGGCTGAAAAGTGGCCATCTACAGTTCAGGGGACAGAGAGAGGCTAGAGATAGAAATCTGGAAGACACCGGAATAGATCAGATCATAGGCAAAGATAATAAATAAGTAAATGAGAGCATGGGATAAAGAGAAAAAATCAACCAGCAAAGCAGATTGAAAAGGAGTGCTGAGTGACATAGGAGGGAAACCAAGGACAGAGGCAGCCTCAGGGAGAGCGGCCTGGCTATCACACTGGACCCCAGGGTCAGAATTTTCCCCCAATTTTTGAACAAGGGACTTTATATTTTCATTTTGCATGAAGCACCACAAATTAGACAGTTCATCTTAACCAGGAGTGTTTGATGTCACAGAAGCCTAAAGAAAAAAAAAAAAACAAAACATTTTTGAAGACCTAGTGTCTGGAGATAAACCAGCAATTAAAAGCATTCCTTTTTACAGTGATATCAAATTGCATGTGAAATTATTTTTACTCATTTTTTTTCAAGAGCAATTTTGTGACAAGAATTATGCCAAATATGGGAGATACAGAGGTGAATGAGTTGGAGCCTGGCGGGGGGTGGGGGGTGCCTTTACAAAATGTAGAGAAAAGCTGCCATGGGGCCTTTATGCAAGGGTTTGACTGTGGTGTGGGTGGGGACAGAGGGGGCTCAGGCACCGGCCGGCGTGGGAACCTGCTCTGACTTAGTGAGATGGAATCGAAGCCCAGTAAGCTGGTCTAAGAGCCAGGAGAATTCTTCCCAAGAGGGCAACGCATGCTAACCCAAGAGGAGAAAGACTCACCGAACTGAGACAAGGCTGGTGTGGCTGCAGGAAAAAGTTCAAGTTTACTTAAAAAAAAAAAAAAAAAATCAGTGAAAACCTCAGGGAGAGAGAATTGAGTGAGGATAGGTGTGGATCTGAGTCTGCGCTTCTCCGAGGCTTAAAGATGGGCCTGTGGGTGAGGGAGAGGCGAGGGAGGCTGAGCGGGCAGGAGGGAAGGGAAGGGAGGGCCACAGCTCTCCACATGCTGTCCTCTTTGGTTTGGCAACTGGGGAGACCATGGGACGGCAGCTGCTGCTTTCCCATAGAGGAGGAGAAGCGCTCTCCTGCAGCAGGGACGGGTTCCCTTCCTGATCAGCCTTTCATCTCACACAGGAATCCCCTGCCTGAACGGAGGCCTCTAGCTCAGGTTGAGAAGCCTCTCATTATGGCCATGAATCCTTGGACCTGATCCTTGCACTTATACTTTCCAATCGTTTTTGCATTTATTTAAAAAGTTTTAAATTTCTCTTGATTGTATCTCAGAGCAATTCCACCTGTTTAAAATACAGGTTTCTGGGCCCATCTCAGTCCTGCTGAAGGAGAGTCACTGGAATTGTCCTTGAAATCTGTATTTTTTTTAATTGAGATATCATTTATATATAACATTATGAGTTTCAGGTGTACAACATAATGATTCAATATATTTATACACTGTGAAATGATCATCATAATAGATCTAGTTAACATGTGTCAGAAAGAAAATCACTGGCCTGAAGGGGTGTCACTTATGCTAGGCCATGTCACCCAACTGGGGCCTACAGCCTAACCTAATCACACTTTCAACCTTGCCCCACTTTTTTTTTTTTTTAAGATTTTATTTCTTTATTTGAGAGAGAGAGGGAGAAGAAGCAGGCTCCTCACTGAGCAGGGAGCCCAATGTGGGGCTTGATCCCAGGACACTGGGATCATGACCTGAGTCAAAGGCAGACGCTTAATGACTGAGCCACCCAAGCAACCCCAGAAATGCAGTCTCAACAGATCAGTCAGGAACTTTCCAGTCAGCACCAATAAGCCAATCTGTCCCAGGGACCTCTCCATCCCCCAAAGGAAGATGAGGTAAACCATCTAATAAGACCCTTTTCTCCCCAAAGGAAGATGACCTCACTCAAAATAATCCTTTTTCCTGTTTCTGACTTTTTGTCCTGCCTTTAAAAACCTTTCCCTTTCCGTAGCCCTTTGGAGTTCCCCTCAGCTTGCTGGGTGGGATGCTGCCTGATTCGTGAATTAGTTAATAAAGCCAATCAGATCTTTAACATTACTTAGATGAATTTTTGTTATTTAACATGCCCAACACCATATAGTTACAGATTTTTTTTTCTCATGATGAGAATTTCTAAGATTTACTCTCTTAGCACCTTTCAAATATATACTACAATATTGCTAGCCATGGTCAGCCAGCATGCCACACGTTACAACCCCGGACTTGTTATTTTATAACTCTAAGTTTGAGCCTGTAACCACGTTCACTTATTTTGCACCTCCCCGCAACCCAAGCGACCACCAGTCTATTCTCTAAGAGTTTGTTTTTTGTTTAGATTCCACATTTAAGATGGTGTTTGTCTTTCTTGGCCTAACTTAATTCACTTAGCAAAGTGCCTTCCAGGTCCATCCACCTGGTTGCAAACAGCAGGATTTCTTCTTCAGGAAAATGTGTTACATATGTAAGAATATTACTCAGCCATAAAAAAAGAGTAAAATCTATATTTTAATGGGTTCTGTAAGTGATTACTACGCATGTTAACTGGGTGCAGTGTCGTCTGTGTTTTCCTCTTGCTATCACCTTAGTAAATCATTTTATATTTTTTATTCTTTGGTCTTTGAACACTTTCTTCAGGTGTTGTTTTATCTCAAATATTCTTAATCTTTGGGCTTCCCACACACACATCTTTAACATTTTACACTGTTTCTTTTGTTTTACTGTCTTTTACTTTTTTTGGTCTGGCCTCTTTGTTTCCAAGGGTGTGTAATGTTAATTACCATTCACTTTGTTTTAATTGGTCTCTCTTTTTTTTAAAGTCAGTTTGTAATTAACACCCAGTAAAACCCATCCTTTTTAGGTGTCCAGTTCCATGAATTTTGGCAAAACATAGTGTGTGGCCACCACCATATTCATGACCTAGAGAACTTCCATCGCCCCCCAAAGTTCTCTTGTGTTCCTTTGTGGTCGTCTCTTCCCCCATCTCTCGGCCCCTGACAATCACTGATCTGTTTTCCGTCCCTATCATTTTGCTTTTTCCAGAATGTTACAGAAACGGGATCAGTTTAAATGTGTTTTTTTCCGCTCTGGCTTCTTGCACTAAGCATAAGCATTTGAGATCCGTTGGTACTGTTAGGCTCACTTCTTTATTGCACGGATGTCCCACAGTTTATTCTCCATTCAGGTTGGTCTCTTTTTATTTTTTTTATTTTATTTTATCTTATTTTTTTTTTAAAGATTTTATTTATTTATTTGACAGAGATCACAAGTAGGCGGAGAGGCAGGCAGAGAGAGAGAGAGAGAGAGGAGGAAGCAGGCTCCCCGTGGAGCAGAGAGCCCGATGTGGGGCTCAATCCCAGGACCCTGGGATCATGACCTGAGCTGAAGGCAGAGGCTTTAACCCACTGAGCCACCCAGGCACCCCTGGTTGGTCTCTTTTTAAAAGCTTTATGGGCATTTAGATTCTGGGTTCAACTTGTGGGGTCCAGGGCTATAAGACGGAGTTCATATTCCAGCTCAGCTACTCACTCCATGACCATGACCTTAGCTTCCTTCACTATTTAGTGAGGATAACACTATCGACTCCACAGAGCTATTTTTGACATTTCCAATGGGCTCGTAAGAACGTACTCAGCAAATGTTCATGTTTTATTCTCTAATTACTAATTTTCTTCTGTTTTAAACTTTTTGAAAACTATCTTTTTATCAGGCAGATTCCTGTTGTATGTTTTCATTTATTTTATTTTTTAAAATGGTAAGGAAGAAAGCCTTATTATAAAAAAACAAAGAGAACTATTGATTACTAGGAATTCATCTGGTGCCAAGGTAGTGTTAAGCGCTTTCCATGCAACATCATGTTTAATTTTGTAACAAATCACAAAAGAGGTATGGCTCCTATTTTTATAGATGAAAGTTGGAACCTACCTCTGCCTGACCACAAAGTACTGTGAGGACAGTCCATGCCCTGAGCAAGATGCTTCAGAGTGCTTTCCCTTTTAGCGGAACTAGGAACGGCTCTTTATTCCTTTCTAACGAAAACATTGCATCTGGGGAACTTACAGGGGGCAGGTATGTCTCTCATTTGGAGCTACTGCCCTC